GTGAGGGGCAGCTGAGTCTGCAGGACCTCTGGGCTGGAACCCAGGATGTGGAGAAAGTCAAGAAGCCTGGACTTGAGGAGGCCATCTGAGCAGAGGAGGCAGGTGGTGGGGTCAAAATTCTGGTCACATGTAGTGGGAATGAGCAGATATTGATAGAACCCTGTTTCCTGTCAGGCAGGAGTTGAAATTTGGAACAATGAAAACTAAACCCTGTGGTGTTAGATTAGAACTGGAGGCAAGAAATACAGACAGAGAGATACAAGCAAATGTGTCCAAGAATGAGCACAGACATGACTTCAGAAAGCTTGTGGGAAAATGGAATTGAAGTAAGTTTATTTGGTGCCAAAAAAGTGAAATACATGGTTTTTCCTATATTTTTCATGAATTTTTGAAGACCTCTCACACGAATGTTTTACCTGTCTACTGAAAATGCCTGGAACGTCATCCCAATAGAAATAAGCACATCCAGCACCCAGGACTCCATGTCTAAGTACCATTCTTCAGTCAAAGAAATCAGGATCCTAAAGAAATGACTGATTCTAAGGGTGGGGAAGGGGAGACATAAACATGTATATCTTTTTGTGCCAAAAAGTAAGAAAATGCCTAAAAAATAAAGAGGATTTACCAAAAAGACATGGGACCAGTTTATAGGAGCTCTCACTAACTAAATAAGGGACGATTTGTACATCCAAATGAATGGACAGTAGCAGATTATAAGCCATTAGTAACATAGGAATCTCTGCCTGACTGCCATGAATAAGAAAGCTACCTCCTTCTAGCCTCAAGATCTTCATAGGTGGTGATCTGCCTTTGTCTCTTTTACTCCTTTTTATCCTTCGGATCGTGACTTACATGTCACTTTCTCGGTCTCACTTTTTCTCCACAGCACTTACCAAAACTGGCATTTATATGCTCCAATTAGATGTGCTTCTTCCTGATTGAAGTGCAGGAAAAGACATTTTGCTCAAGACTGTAGATATGGGCCTAGTCCATGGTGACTATAAACATCTGTTGATGGCTAAATCCTTTTTCTGGATCTTTCTTTTTTTTTTTGAGATT